AGATATGAGCGTTCGAGAAAAAATCATGGAAAATTTGTAGTTTAAAAGCAGTAATTCGACCTTGCTCAGCAGAACTTTTATATCTGTTAACATATCTCTCTATTTATATATATCATCTAATAGATTCATATCTATCTATCCATTTATCTATTTCGGTTTGTTTATATTCGTTATATCAATTTATATTTATATTACTCTCTTCACTCTCTCGTTTCTTTCTCTCTTTCTTTCTTTCTTTCTTTCTTTCTTTCTTTCTTTCTTTCTATTCCTGTCTGTCAATATCTATCTATCTATCTATCTATCTATCTATCTATCTATCTATCAGGTTCATATCTATGCATCTCATTTTATAGATTCATATCTATCTCTTCTAATCAGTTCTTATCTATCTATGTCTCTGTCCCTTATATATATATATATATATATATATATATATAAAATGTCATTCCAGCTTTTATATATATATATATATATATATATATATATATATATATATATATATATATATTAGTCATTCAAGCTTATGTAAGATGGTTTCCACTTGCGAGGTGTGCTTGATTGATTTGAACCTTTTAAAAGCCTTTATTCTACATTCAACATCACTTGATAAGACACCAGAAGTCAATCTTTAAATTTTGTCTCCTTAATTCCTGTTTCTTTTGTTGCTGTCTTATGTAAACGGTGTTTTTTCTCATATTCTATCATATGAAATATCACCTTGTGCCTTAGTTACTTTGCTGTTCTGCTTTACGTGAAATGACTTAAAAAAATACACATGAACACAATGTGCGATATTGTAATGCAAATTAACAACACAATTTCTGCTTACTTATCTTTCATGCATTTCACCCAAGTCGTCCTGGAAAAGGCATGAATCTATTTCCCCTAAGGTCTTAGTTAAGGCTCAGCTTAAACGTGGCTCCGTTGACTTTGTTCGCTAATCGGCGCGCTTCTGAAATAATAATATTCTCCCAATAAGAATAAAACATACATATTTTATCGTTGTTATATTGGAATAAATGTCGCTGCCGGCACTTGCGTTTGAACATAGGTAGCCAGTGAGCAAACAAAGGCGAACCGCTTATTAAAATGAAGTAGACCCCGTGACCATAAAGTAAACTCATATATGTAGGAAGTAGCTGCCGACTAACGATCGCTATTCCTAGTCTATCCTCTATTACTATTATGATCGCTATTTCTAGTCTTTCCTCTATTATTACACGGATCGTTATTTCTATTCTATCCTCTAATGCTATTGGGATTTCCATTTCTATTCTATTATCTATTACTATACGAACCGCAATTCTTTATGTTATTCAATATATTATATCTCTATTCAGATGACTATACGGATTAATATTTTAGCGAGTAATATCAACCAAGTACTATTAGTACGAGTGCTGTTCGAAGGCGTCTAACACTAGTATTGTTCAACGGCGTTACTATAGTTGTATCTGCGATTTCAAAGTCGCTTCTACAACGTGCATTATGAAAGCGACAACGAGTGTTCGTTGAGTCACAAAAATCGTGAATCTTATATTCATAAGGTTTCGGCTCTTTTACTGCACAGTCGTCTTCTCTTGTCTGCAAACTCGGCTTCAGTCACTTTCGCTACGCAACTTAGCCTCCCTGTGTTTTTTTTCTATAAATGCGTTCATGGCGATTGTTATGACAAGCTACCCGATTTCCTACCTTTTAACTTTAAGCGCAGTACTAGATTGGTAGTTACGCTTCATCATTTTACTATTCAAAATGACTAAATATATTTCATTTTGATGTAAGGGGGGGGGTCACAGGTGGGTTGTATTCCTCTACTGAAATTTTTTTTTTCCTTTTTATATAATTTAAATTTTAATTTGAACAATGGAATGACACCTAGCTTACTTGAATAAATATATTTCATTTTTATCAAAGATGGTCCCCGGTGTGGCACAATCTCCACCCTGAATGTTTTATCCCTTTATTAATCCCTAATTTATTTTGAATGTGAACATGGGACTGACACCTAGAGTACTTCAATATGTACATTTCAATTTGATCAATAGCGGTACTCGGAGTAACAACCCCCACAAAAAAAACACTGAATGTTTTTTCCTATTTGATTTAAATTAAATTTAAATTTTAACAAGGGATTGATTCCTATACAAAATATAGGAGAAAACCAGAAAAAGGAGGTCACATCGGTATTGAGTAATATTGAATTGCATCATTTTTCTCTACAAATTATAATAATGATTTAAAATCTATCATCGTTTCATTTAAAAAAAAAACTGTGTCCCGCAGCAAGGCGCGGGTAATTTTGCTAGTTTTGAATACGATGTCAATCGTTTTCTTCTGTCTTCTTAAATTCCATTTCTTTTATTGTTCTCTCACCTTAATATTGATTTTTCTCGTCCTCTCCGTAACCCCAGCGATTTCGGGGCTTTATTCTAACCTCTTTTGACATAGTGGCCTTATTGCTTTACTTGGGGTGAAATGATTAAAACAATAGTATATATATATATATATATATATATATATATATATATATATATATATATATATATATACATGTAATGTAAATTGCCAGCTAAAAGTTCCGTATTTATCATTCAATCGTTTTAGAAAAATGAATAACGTTGATTCTTGGCCCGTTTGATAGTATTTAAAACGAAATTAATCACAGTGCCAAACGCTTCAAAAAATGAAATTTGGCTCATCCCAAGAAAAAATTACGCATGGACAGTTGAATAAACAAGTTCAAGACAAGAAATCCTAAAATTTATTCTTCGCTGTTAAAACGGAAAAGGGAAAAAATTTAAATTAAAGAAATTATTAAATCGTTTTGTCAAAATACTTTTTTGAAAACAATCATCTTATTTAAATTTCATCGATTGGTTTACGAAATTGAAATTATAAATCTCGACAAAAATGTTTTAAGATAATTTAACAATTTAAATATTGCAATTTTTTACACGCGGCAAGGTGTTGCAAAAAAAGATTCTCGTGTCTTAAAAAAGACATGTTGTTTTATAATAATTTACACTTATACAACAATGATTAATATAACTCATATCTATGTGAAACTCGCCGTTAGATTTGTTTTAAAATTATGAAAAATTAAAATGGCTGATAAGAGGAGATACAGTACAATGTTAGTATTGTGCTTAGGAGACTTCGTTGCGCACGATTCTTTTTTAATCAAGTTTTTCATCATCTTTGTTGCCATATTTATTACGTGATATTTGTACTTTCCGGCTTTCTTCAGGTGGTTGGGATGTCGAACTGAACCCTTTATTTCGCTCGGGAAGGGAATCTGCATTTACATTCTAAACATATCCCTCCATTCATTTGACCTCTGCATATTTTCTCCACTGCCTTAACCAGGTATTGAACACACAGCTATTTGGGTCCTGTTACTGGATCTAACCAACGCCTTTATCCACTTTGCCATGTGTTTTATAACCTATCTGTGAGTTGAAATTCTGGTAATTATAAAATAATGTCTTCAGCAACCATTTTGACGAGTTATCTCATAATCAATTTTTTTTGTTATCATTTTGCATGTTTTTTTTTGGTTTGTTTTATAATCTCCCATATTGTAATTTTTTTTTCGACATTAGCCTAATTTTAAATAATGGGCAATTCCGATTTTGATTTAACAAAAGACAAGAAAAATATTAACAGGCCCTCTGTCAAAAAATTGAATCATTTAAATTGTGAATATCTGTCCAGTTGATATAACACCTATTGCAATAGAAATTAAAGACGCTTCTTGTTGAACAATAAAAGATTTTTATTTTGCAAAAGATATTCACCGGGATGTAGATTTTATAGCCAAATTTACAAAGATTCACAGTATACGCACCACCTGTTACACGATATACATCAAGTCGCTAGTCCAGCTCCTGTCAAACACGCTGTAGCATGTTTTAACCCTTCATCTCCAGCGCCCCAGATTCTCTGCTTTGTTCCTAATTTTGCTGTAGAAAGGGGTTTGTCAATGACATGTTCTTTCATATCAACACCGTAGTAAAAGATGACAAAGTGTCAAGTCAATTAAACGTGGTGGCGATTTCAACAGCACATTATCATTATTACTGGCATATTATAATCCATCTTCCTTGTAGATTCTCAGTGAGATAACTCCGCAGAGTTAACATAGTTTTAACACATATTGCTAACATTTGAGATCATTTGAGCGGAAATTGGCGATGTTATTAAACTAAGAAGTGATGTTAACATTTTAGAGGCACTCTGTGTAACAGAGACTTTCTCGTTTTTGCCTAAAACAAACGAAAGTAAGAAAAAAGAAAGATTGAGTTGGGTTTTTGTTGTTTATCATGCTGGACGGCCTGACGATTTCGTCCAGCATGAAACAGTCTGTCGCCTCTGATAACTTGATATCAATGTTCATTTCCATATTTACATTTAACATATACTCTATCTCTGAATATTTGAAAACTTTATACTATCAATAGAACCTTTAACTTAATATCGATATATTTATACATATATATATATATATATAAATATATATATATGTGTAAAATGTGTGTAAATGTGTGTGTGTGTGTGTGTGTGTTTCATTAGTTAATACTTTTTAACAAAAAGTATAGTGTGAGGATACATTTTATAGGTTCATTAATGTTTTTCTCAAAAATTTTTAACTAATTCAATATGAAGAAGAAACTGACTGAATATGGAACTCTCCTTTCCGATGTCCAATTTCGATCCATTATCCAGTAACTCTCTCGTATATCCAAGCTTACAGCACAAAATATTACCAAATTGTCTTACATAAGTATGCGTGAATGGTTTAACGTCATTTAAAAAAAAACACTGTTTAGATAAAACAACAATAAAATTTCATATGGATTTAAATTTTTCATAAATTAAAATTCTTGAAAATAGCATTTAAATTTTGGAAAATGAAATTTAAATGGAAACGATCATGGAGAGTGGAGAGTTCAACAATTGATCAGGGGGACAGAAAGAAATTTTAGTACAAAACTTTCGTTTCAATCTATGTATAGACAGATGTATCTGAATCTATTAGATGAGATAGATAGATAGATAGATAGATAGATAGAACTGAATCTATTAGATGAGATAGATAGATTGATAGATAGATAGATGGATAGATCTGAATTTATTAGATGAGATAGATAGATAGATAGATAGATAGATAGATAGATAGATAGATCTGAATCTATTAGATGAGATAGATAGATAGATAGAATGATAGATAGATCTGAATTTATTAGATGAGATAGATAGATAGATAGATAGGTCTGAATCTATTAGTTAGATAGATAGATAAATCTGAATCTATTAGATGAGATAGATAGATAGAGAGATAGATTGATAGATAGATAGATGGATAGAACTGAATTTATTAGATGAGATAGATAGATAGATAGATCTGAATCTATTAGATGAGATAGATAGATAGAGAGATAGATTGATAGATAGATAGATGGATAGATCTGAATTTATTAGATGAGATAAATAGATAGATAGATTGATAGATCTGAATCTATTAGATGAGATAGATAGATAGATAGATAGGTCTGAATTTATTAGATGAGATAGATAGATAGATATATCTGAATTTATTAGATGAGATAGATAGATAGATCTGAATCTATTAGATGAGATAGATAGATAGATAGAGAGATAGATTGATAGATAGATGGATAGATCTGAATTTATTAGATGAGATAGATAGATAGATAGATAGATAGATAGATAGATAGATAGATAGATGTGACACTATTTAGGTCGCTAGAAAGAAAGAAGAAAAAATAAAGCGAGAAATAAATTTAGGTGATAAGAAGCCATCACGAAAAGGACACTAAGCGATGTTATTTTTTTTAACAAAGAAAAGTGGTAAAGGTTTTATTTCCATTGTTGAGAAAGTAAGGTCGCGGATGTTTCGGATTTAATCTGATTTATGTTACGACGCGGCGAATAAAATATATTCAATCTGCCCATGGCAATGGTGAAAATTTCAAGTTGGACAAGCGACCTCCGAAACAGAATTCTAAAGAGATAAAAAAAAAAATAGGTCATGCACTGACCGAAAAAAAAAATGTCCGCTGGACCACCCATTAAAAACAAAAGATTAAACCATTTGTCTATCTGCGGAATATCGTTTGGAGGAAAACATCTGTTTATTGTCAGGGCTGGCTATGATAAAAAACTATTTTATCGGAACAGTTAATTAGCGACAGAATGCAAATACGTCTAGTTAAACCACCCACTTGATTTGGCGAAAATCTGATTGATGAATTCCAGGGACATTTGGTTAAAATAAGAGATTAAGGGTTCGTTGTCGGGCAGAAGAAAAAAAAGAAAAAAAAAAAAAAAAAGGAGATAATTTTTTTTCTTTGAGCAATATTTTTTTAACCGAGGCTAGTCTAGCCACACCCACACTGCTGAGCGCCCATTGGCTGAATGGTGGCGTGAGCGTTAGGCGAAGGTAATCATGTGAAGAAGGAGGGAGGCCTGTTGACACCCCCCCTTGAAGGGATCGGTATGAGATGTCACTGTGAGAGAGAGAAGGAAACCCGTTGTCACCCTCTGAGGGTATAGTGAGATACCAATATGAGAACAGAAGAAGCTGGGAAGACGAAATACTTCCAAAACTGGAAAATAATAAATCTTCCTGACCGAAAACAAAGAAGTGGATTGTGGATTTAGAATTATCAAGGAACCTCAAACCCCGACAAGCCCACCCCGGTTTTGGTCGGCGTCCATATAAGCAGAGTCGCAGCGAGTGGAAAGCAGTTCCAGTTGAGTTCCAGTTGGTGTTGGAGACAGACAGGCAAGCAGTTGCAGTGAGCTGAGATCTCTGAGGACCCGCCTCGCAGAAGCTGACTAAGATTCACGCAATTCCGAACTCAACTTCTAACCAAGAACAATTTATTTTTGAAGAACGACTTAGACCCACACCACCAAAACAAGTTTTACGAATATCGCCTGAAGATACACCAAGAACCAGTTTCTTAAAGAACAAACAACTTAAGATGTTAAGACTCGCCTAACAAACACAAAGTGTCACGCATCCATACAGCGGGTTGGGAAGAAGACACATTTCTGTATTCAGCAACAAGATATAAAATATTGTTATCCTTTTTTAACACATTTGAACTTTTCGAGATATTACTTTATTTTCTTTTACATATACTTGTGCGATATTGCCCTTGTCCGGACTCAGATTGCATGACGGCCTGGTGACTGATTGATTTCGTCTACCAAAGATCAAATCACAACGTGGGTAGGTTAGACTAGAAAGCAAAACAGTTACTTTGGTAACCAGACGTTGGAGGCGAGCTGGGAACGACAAGGCTGATATCGAATCTAACCAGATTGCCATCCGAATCAGTAAAAGGTTAGAACGTCACATTTGGTGCCGCGGCCAATACCAAGTCACATTGGTCGTCACGGGACAGGATAGGACGGCGACGGCGCTGAGACAGACGGGGTGACGTCACAACTAGCATCGTGGACAGGACAGCACGGCGGCGCAGCCAGGCAGACGTCACATTTGGGGCAAGGACACCGGGGGACGTCACAATTGGTGCCGTGACCAGGATAGCACGGAGGGCGCGGACAGACAGACGTCACGATTGGCGCAGCGACACCGGGGCACGTCAGATAGATAGATAGATAGATAGATAGATAGATAGATCTGAATCTATTAGATGAGATAGATAGATCTGCATCTATTAGATGAGATAGATAGATAGATAGATAGATAGATAGATAGATAGATAGATAGATAGATAGATCTGAATCTATTAGATGATATAAATAGAAAGATAGATAGATAGATCTGAATCTATTAGATGAGATAGATCTGGATCTTTTGGATGAGATAGATAGATCTGCATAGATCTGCATATGAGATAGATAGATCTGAATCTACTGGATGAGATAGATAGATAGATAGATAGATAGATAGATAGATAGATTGATCTGAATCTGTTGGATGAGATAGATAGATAGATAGATAGATAGATAGATAGATAGATAGATAGATAGATAGATCTTAATCTATTAGATGAGATAGATAGATCTGGATCTATTGGATGGGATAGATAGATAGATAGATAGAATCTGTTAGATGAGTTAGACAGATTAATCTATAAAATGAGATCAATTGATGGATCATACAAGAATTCCGTACCCCCCCACCCAAAAAAAAAACAACAAAAAAGAAAAAAGGGGGAAACTGAGTTTATTAACGTCGGCTTCAGAGGAAAAAAAAAAACGTAAAGAAAGTCGAAACGGGAGGGAGAGGAACGAGAAAGACATTGTTTGCAACGTTAAAACGGACTTATATTATTAAATATCTCTCACTTCAGTATTATTTAAGTACCAGTAATAATTATTCTCCATTAATCAAATATAATTTAGGCTGTAGTCAGGATACAAAGAGAGCAGTGAAAACAATAGGATATAAAATAGTAAAAGCTGATGTTGCCTTCATTTTGATAATATTGTTAAGCTACAATATTTACCGACACAATGGTGGCATTTCCAAGAGAAAAATATAGGTATGGAAAGCGCAAAGCACATATTCAATCATTCAATTAACAATTATATCTCATCAGAAAATTAAAAAGAGGAAAATCATGAGAAATTCACGAGAACTGATGGTATATATTAATTCATAAGCGACAAAACTGACACCGAAAACTTGCAACTTATAAACAGTTGGAGATTAATGCATCGATAATGAGTGATTTATTCACTTACTATATTACTTACGGAGACTTATCAACAATTTACGGGTTATTTAATGCCATAAAATATTTTAGATTGTAAGATTTTTGGTGTATAATGATAATTTCAGTCATAAAAAAAAAACAACTATAAATTAACCCATACTTGGGGAGAGAATGTGTGGATTCATGCCTTTCCCAAAGGAATTTCTGCATAAGTGGATATAATAAACCTGACCTGAATTGGAACTCTATTCTTCAATATAAGATAGCGTCCCATACCTTAGGAGATAAGATGTGGATTCATGCCTTTTCCAAACATATTTGTGCATGTGGATATAATGGATCCGACCTGAATTGGAACTCGATTCTCCAATTTAAGATACCGACCCATACCTGATGAGATAAGATGTGGACTCATGCATTTCCCCCAAAAAATTGGTGAATAAGTGGATATAATAAACCTGACCTGAATTGGAACTCGATTCTCCAATTTAAGATAGCGACCCATACCTGAGGAGATAAGATGTGGATTCATGCCTTTTCCAAACGTATTTGTGCGTAAATGGATATAATGAACCTGAACTGAATTGGAAGTCGATTCTGTAATTTCCTATGCAGAGCCATCATTCATTGTACTACCCTCACCTTCACGATAACAACACCTGATATTGTAAAAGGTCACAAATTTAGTTAATGCTAAGTTAAATTTAGTTACTTCGATAATCGTACTGAAACGGTTTTTCAACGGGATATGGGCTTAAGTCTAATCATGGATAAACCGCCGTATATTTGAAAGGGTCCCGTGTAAGAACGCTTCATTTACATAAGGCAAAACCTGTTCTGGCTTTTCTGAGCAGGCGTAATAAAAGTCTGGATGGTATTTTCAAAAGAATATTTCTGCATGCTGGTAATATTGACCATAGTAATATTAGTACATTATGTATACCAGCGAAAAGAAAGGACTAAATATCCATTGCAAGAATACTGAATGTATGGCTTTTAGCAACAGGAACAACTCAGCATTCAAATTACAAATGATTTACCAAAATCAACCGGGAGTAACAATTTCGATATCTGTGAAGCGTATTTAATAGAGAACAGAATGCGTGAAACGGAAATCCGAATGAAGATAGCGAAAGATGCCTTCTGAAATCTGAGCAAAGTATTAAGAAACAGGAAAAAATCGTCTTCCGATACAAAGGAAATAGTATGAAATTGTTATGTAATATCAAGTCTCCTTTTTCTGGATAATCTACTCACTGAGGAAGATACATGAAGTAACAAACATATTGTTCTACAGAAGGATTCTGAGGACACTATGGACCAAGCATGTGAGCAAAAATGCGGTTCTCGAACAATAGAAATAAGACTGATACATACCAAACATCTGGAAGAGACATTTGATATTTCGGCGGGGGGAGGGGCGGTCACATAATGAGGAAAGATGGCTTGGTAAATGTGATACTCAGAAAACAGGTTGAAGGTAGGAGTGACACATATTGAGCTTCAGTGAATAGATGGTGGAATAGTGTTTGGAGAGATGGCAAAAAGACATAGTTTATTAAAAGCTACAGTGGATCGGAAATTGTGTAGAGCGATGATCGCCGACGTTCTGAAAGGACATGTCACATAGAGGAAGAACATTTTGGCAATAATATCCAGTGGAGAGTCTACTATAATTTGAATATACACTCTTTAGCGCTAGAGGGCGTCGTCAGTGATTTGGATCATTTGGGATGTTCGGGTCTTCCAAACATCATACTACCTTCACCGATCCCATCAGAGCTGATCAGTCTCTGATGCGCCCCATCTAAATTAACAGCCTGCAGACGTTGACTTATATTAGGCAAACCATAACCCGCTATCACGCATTTGATTGGTAGTTGACCAAAAGCCAATCGCAATGTTGTGAACTCTATTTAAATTGTTTGCTTTTTTTATGTGGAGACCCTATCATCGGATACTCGGAAGGTAATTATATTTTTCCCCGGTTTTGGCCCCTTCTCCCCTTTTTTCACATCACCCATCAAGTTTCATCTCGCCACCTGTTAGTAATAAAAAAAATTCAACCATAAAATAATTAAAAATTTACATTGTTTTTACGATTAAAATAAATAAGTTAAGACTTGTGCTGCGTGTTAAAACGAAAACAAATATATAAATAAATGCCGTTTAAAACAAGTTGAACGAATAAACTTACATAATTCGTTTAACCCTAGAACACTAACCATCAATTAAAGTTACAAAACTATTACCCATGGGTATATCATACCCGATTTTGAGAATGTCAAAAAAAAAAAAAAAAAGATTAAATATAAATCTTTATTTGAAATATTTTACATACAGGCACTTCAAAGAAGACCTGAAAAAAACATACTATTTAGGTAAGAAAATCTGGTACTGTAAATTGTAATTAAAAACAGGAAAATTTGCGCTGGGTAATATATGTCCATGGTTAGTGATCTAGGGTTAACTCTATCGATTAACGTGATAAATTAACGTATGAGATTAACAATTAAAATTAAATTTACGTTTTTTGATCGTTACGAAACAAAAAAGGATTATCTTTGCAAGCACTATTCGTTCTTCCGGGAGATGTGCGCTAGCGGGCCTATCTCCGACTCAGTGCTGTTGATATCAGGCTTTTCTCGGACATTGGAGCTGAAGTGACCGCAAATGTTATTGAGCAGCACTGAGGCTGCACTTGATGTCGGTATTGCAAATGATGGCGGGTGGTTGATAAGTTCAACGGCTCGATACACAATGGTGATCAGGTTTGGCTTCAGGTGTTTCTTTTTCTCAATGCGTTTAACCTTGAGAAAACTGAAAATCAGGATATAGTATTATTATTTTACGTCAGAATACATGTTTCAACATGTATATTCGTGTAGAGAAATCGAGTCATTATTGCCTTAAAATTGATGTTGCAGGATTTTTTATTATAATATATTTAAATTAAGTCCTTGAACCTGGGAAACATTTTTTAAAATATATACGACTAAAGAAGATATACATAGAAACAACGATTCAATATATATATATATATATATATATATATATATATATATATATATATATATAAACATGCACATTTATATATATATATATATATATATATGTGTGTGTGTGTATGTGTGTAGAGTGTGCATGTAAGTATATGTAAACAGCATGTAAGTACATAATTCATGATGACGTGACGTCTAGATGTTATTCTAATTCCAGTGAATAGATGACGTGATGTTATCATCACGCAATTCGAGGACAAAGGAAATCGTTGCCTGGGGCTGGACAACTTTTATTATTAATATAAAATTTCGTTATAGATGATCGTGTTTGTATCTCTGTGTGTATAAATTTGCTTTGTGCAGGAGTAAATAAGCACGCAACTACACACACACACACACGCGCGCGCAGATACAGACACAGACAGATAGATAGATAGATAGATAGATAGATAGATAGATAGATAGATAGAATGACAAAAACATGAAAAGGTACATTGATGTATTGAAAAAAAAGAGACATATATAAAATGCTACACACTAATACCTGAGTTTTGTTCACATATATGAGAGTGTGTGTGTGTGTGAATGCTTTTGTTTATGAAGAATATATATATATATATATATATATATAAATATATATTACCAGATTTATATATATATATATATATATATATATATATATATATATATATATATATATATATATATATATATAAAAGATTTACCACCGCCTGATGATACACTCAGGCATCGAAACATGGATGCATTGATGTAGCTTCTACAATGTTCGAAAAGTAATACCTTATAATAATGGCATATATATATATATATATATATATATATATATATATATATATATATATGTGTGTGTGTGTGTGTGTGTGTGTGTGTTGTTGTTTGCTCAACCATCATACAATTTTCATATATGAGCAAAACTCAGGTATTTGTGTGTGTGATTATATATATATATATATATATATATATATATATATATATATATATATATATATATATATATATATATGTAGTTTTGAGGTGCTGGCTACATATTTAGACACACACACAGCACACACACACACACACACACACACATATATATATATATATATATATATATATATATATATATAGAGAGAGAGAGAGAGAGAGAGAGATCAGTGGAGAAATGTACAGACTGATAGATAGATAGATAGATAGATAGATAGATAGATAGATAGATAGATAGATAGGTGAAAAACTTAGATTGGTTGGCAGATCTATAGATAATACAAAGACTAATACAAATATACATAGATATGAAGAGGTTAAAGAGATAGATAGATACAGAGATAGATAGATAATGAATAGACTTACATTGATCAATAGATAAATAATGAACATTCTGATATACATATATAGAGAGATATGCATAGACACAGATAGATAGATAGATAGATAGATAGATAGATAGATAGATAGATAGATAGATAGATAGATAGATATTAGGAGAGCCCTGCATTCATTATGGCAAGTAGAGACGATGTGATAAATGTTGAATGATTTGTTCTTCTCGTCTATCTGGATTCTGAAAGAGTTGGGGTTTCTTTATAGAGAAACATATATTTGATAGATTTGCTTTTACGGCTTATTAACCCTTTAATTAAAGGTTAATTAAAGCCAGAAATATTTTTAGATTTATAATTTGTTGGACATTTTATTTTAATCAATACGACCCAAGCAAGACAGCAGTGCCACTACCACGCCGGGGGTTAGGGAGAGTGAAAATGAGGGTAAAGATTGTCGTTGCATTTTAAATGTCTGAAGTTTGTAATTATCAGAAAAGCATATGAGAGTTCCAATGGCGGGAAGTGCGAGGAAAGGAACTGCTCCGGTAGAAATCGGGTTTACATTTAGCTATGAAATATTCGTAAAGACTCCAGTTGCCTTTTCAAATTCCTCTTTATATATATATATATATATATATATATATATATATATATATATATATATATATATTACATGAATCATTCATACAAAAAAACAAATATAGAGGTTAATGATTTAAATGGCGAGAATACATCATCGCAAACAATTTCAATAAAAGTACACTAACCCCGAACCTATATATGAATGATATGATCCCTGTTTATAAATTCCAGTTGCATAAGGTCTTTTTTTAAAGTTTTTACAAGCTTTCATCTGTTCCTACAGACAACCTCCAGCAAATAGATTTGTTCTTGTTTTTTACTTCTCAGTGATGATTCATGTAATTCCAAATTGAACTGCAAAAAAATCGAAATATATATATATATATATATATATATATATATATATATATATATATATATATATATATATATTTATTGCCTTTTATATATATATATATATATATATATATATATAATATTAGGCAAATATATATTTTATATATAAAGAAATAATCATACATAGAATCAATCAGCAATATTAATGCGATTAATGGCGAAATCACTTCGCTAGTAGAACATAATGTGTGTATTAAAATACTGTTAATCTATTGAATGATATGATCCTCATTTATAAAGCTGTTGTCAGATGTTTCTAGTGTATATTTTTTAAGTTAAGCAAGTACTTCCGAAGATCCATGTCTCCATCATCGGGCGGTAATTTTTTCCTTTGAAGTTAAAACTTGAAGACGAAATAATTGTTTGTGGACCGAAAGAATTGTTTTAAGAATGTGCTCTTTAGTGACGGTTGCACAATCCCGGAACCTGCAAGTCGCAACGCTAAAGTTCAAAATTTCAAGTGAGTATTTTTATATGAAATATATATATATATATATATATATATATATATATATATATATATATGAACCGATTCTTAACGGTACAGAATTTTTATAACAGCAAGGAATAGGTAAGTTTTTTTGATGGCATTTTAACTAAAAACTATAACGATCGGTTTCGATTCAGATTTTATCAAGTTTATTTTCTGGGTATATCTTCGAGGACTAAAAAATGTACACACTAGAGTCCAAAAACACATTCAAATCCACCAAGCAATCTCTCTGTTTGCAAAGAGAAGACTTACGAGATCTACTGTAAATGGACTCCAATGCTTTAAGATGAAATATTGGGTGCGACCTAGACAGAACGGTGAAACGGTCGACACTCAAACCATACAAATATTCCCTACTGTTTATAGCATGCTGTGCTAAGGAAGACCCGGATGTATTCACCAGCTGACTACCACTAGTGGCCGGATTCAAAATTCGTGTTGGGTAAATGTTGTTTAATTCTGAAATCCAAACGTTGAGATGTTCTACCTATGTACTCATATCGACAACTACACTCAAATTTATACACAACGGAATTAATATGGTGTGGAGGTAAAACATCTTTACGAATGGATGACAAAATTGTCCGAGTAGAAAATATTACTCTCTTATTAGAAGAAAAATAGCATTTACCTATGGAACGTGAAATTCGCCTAGCTAAAGTCTCACCTTCCACCCCAATATAGGGTAGCCGTAAATTAATTGGATATTTTTTAATACAATGCGTCTTAACCTTATGAAAATTATCAATGACGTTACTCATAATGGATTCCAAAATCTCCAAAGGATATCCATTTTTGGAAAGTTTCATCTTAATAAAATTCATTTCAACGCCGAGGAAGGAATTGTATTTTATATATATATATATATATATATATATATGTGTGTGTGTGTGTGTGTGTGTGTCATTCACAAACGGTACTATTTTGGTGTAATACAGTTCCTCAGTGCAACTAGACATCCGAATGCCAGGTCTGAAACCCGACCGATTTGGTGTTAGTCAGATTTTCTACCAATAAGCTATCATCCTTAGGCACAGAGAAACAGCTAATTTTAACGTATTGTTTTTAAGAATGTAAACAAACGCCAATCAGTTATAGTGCTCCAATTCATTTTAAAAAGAGCTTTTCATAGATGACTGTTGTTTATAGAATTAGCCTATCTTTCAACAGTGATCAGCTGAAATATATTTTCGTGAGCTTAATTATAACATTCCCAGACAGTACTGTTTCGCTGTATTGCAGCTCTTCAGTGCGACTAGACATCCGAATGCCTCAAGCTAGGACTGAAACCCGACCGATATAGTGACAGCATGGACAGTTTCTAAACACTTTGTGTCCAAAAACGAAAACACTAGCTTCAACAAAACAATTAAATAAATCTTAATTGCAGTACCTTGTCTCTCGACTTTAATGAAACATGTATAAATGAAGGATTGCTGCCTAAATACAAAATTGTCAAATTACACGACTCGGCACCCAACAAGGAAAATAACATTCACAAAATTATCTTGTCTTACGACAAATAAAATCAGCTAAAAATGACATCCAATACTTATATAATGGAATCCACAAACATAACAAGACATTAAAAAACACCTTGACCGAACCGGGATATAAGTAAGCACTGTATCAACTCAGTCTTAGCATTAATGGACACCAACTTACACACAATAATGACAAAAAAACGGTATGTAAATTATACCAAGGAAACATTCTACTACCCAACAGCGACGAGGGCACCTCGGCGTGGTGTAATGGTTAGCACGCTTGTCTTGCTAGATCAGTTACTACTGAAAAGTGAGTTCGATCCTCACTGGGTGCCCAATACTTTCGGCCTTGTGCCACATCTAAGCAACGCTTAGAAAATAAATTTGGGCACCTCGGCGTGGTGTAATGGTAAGCACGCTTGTCATGCTAGATCAGTTACTACTGAAAAGTGAGTTCGATTCTCACTGGATGCCCCATACTTTCGGCCTTGTGCCACATCTAAGCTACGCTTGGAAAATCTCTACCCAACAGCGACGACAAATATATAAACCTATCTAGTCATAAATTAACAGATGGCCAAAAAGAATTACTAAATTTAGGACCAAACTACCATCACCAACTTAAGTTTGGTCTCTTTACAAAGAAGACCGAAATTGAAATTCTACACCAATCACTATCCCTACTTGAGGCGCGTTGAGACGTATTAGGTCACACAGACCTGAGAGGCCGAAGGTTTGAAAAACCGATCCACTCGCAACAACTACAATAATATCGTAATAACAAAACGAAAACCGCCGCAAAGCAACTAAAAAACAAACCTACCATTGTCGTCAGACGAGCTGACAAAGCTAATACATATGAAATTTTGGATAAAGCTGATTACAAAACATTATCGATGACCGAACTAAATTCAACAAACTGAACAGAAACCCCACGACGACGCTAAAAAGTGTCGTCATCAAACTTACAATATTTAATAACGCTGAAGTCGGTTCCGTAAATGTCCCAAAAATCATTGGAGACTACCAAACTGGATATTTATATGTCAATATAAAACCTCCATAAACCTGTATATCCGCTTCGACCAATTATTTCCCAGATCCTAACACCTATCTACGAGCTATCAAAATTTTTGAACGACATCATCACTCCATACCTACCCACCAATTACAGCATTACATCCACTCATGAATTCCTCCAAATTTCTAAAAATTACTAAACTAAACCAAGGAATCATAGCGTCACTTCACGTCGAAAATGTATTTACAAACGTCCCTGTCGATCAAACCACTGACATTATCCTCACTTCTGTGTATAGTAATAATTCCATTTCTCCGCTATGTATCAAACCATTTATACTCCAAAAATTACTCTATGCATGCACAACCAAAGTCCCCTTCTACGAGCATAATGGCAACTTTTACACCCAAACTCATGGTGTTAGTATGGGAAATCCACTCGGCCTATGTTTCTCCGATTATTATATGCTCACCCCTTCACTGTCGAAACTCCTAAATGTAGCCGTCTAATTCTACTCTAAATGCAATATAATTGGCCCTGTTCTGGCATCTCGTCTACAGTCACTCTCTCACAGACGCACCGTCGCCACTCTCTGTCATTTTTACAAATACTTTCATGGCAATTGCTCCGAGTAGCTGCATTCGCTGGTTCCCAGACTTCATGCGTTCAAGCGCCCTACGAGGCTGGCATCTCGCTCTCACCCTTTCACTGTTGAAACTATTAAATGTAGCCGTCTCTTCTCCTCCAATAGGTTCCTGTCTCGCACCTCTCGCCTTTGGAACTCCATTCCCTTCTCCTGTTTCCCTGTGAGCTATAATCTCCAGCTATTCAAGTGTAATGTCAATCGACATCTCCAGTTGCCTTAATCTATCCACTACCCTCATCCTTTCTTCTATCACTCTGATCTTGCTATTTTCTGTAACCACTTGCGTCTGTGGCTTCCCGCCTTGCTTGGGGGAAATGCTTAAAAAAAAAAATGTCCCATGTAGAAACTATAATATTTAAACAGGTCTGTAAACCTAAAATATATGTCTGCAACGTTGTGATATTTTTTATTTTAGCAAATAACACTAAAGAAATAGATACACTCAAGACTGGATTCGAAAAAAAAATCTGTCATTAACTTTACCTGTGAATATAGTCCAAAAATAAACACACATTCTTAGACGTTCTCGCAGGATCTACTCACAACAC